ATGTAGTCCTGCATGGAAAAGATACAGTAGTTCACCCAAGACTTGTTCTCACAATGGGAATCTGAAATGTAACATGTTTATGTTCACCACAACAGCTCTATTGAAGCTATAGCCATCTTTATACGCAGTGGAGATATTTGAGACTCATGGCGTTATCTAGCGTTTATCAGCGTTTGAAAGAGGATTGTCACGATACCTCACGCCAGGTCCATGGAAGGGAACAGAAACAGGGGGTGATGGTTTAACCGGTGGCCAGGGCAAAGCAGACGACAGCTCCGGCTCAGGATCCTCAAGAACAGCAGACGACACTGGCTCCGGCTCTGGAACAATGGACACGAAAGGTCTGAAAGGCCTCTCCAGGATCTGAGCTAGACATTCCAAATAGTCTGCAGGCTCTGGGCTGGATGGAAACCACAGCAAACAGAGCTCTGGGCTGGATATCACCTGCCCAGGGGCCTGAGTGGAGAATGGTGTCGGGATTCCTCGCGACCACCGGCCTCCATGGGTCCAGCAAAATCTAACCGACCGGGTCCTGTGTGAAATCTAACCAACCTTGTCTGTCATGTGATCCCCTGTAGTCATGTGATCTTGCCCTGTCATGTTGTCACAGGTTGATTGTTTTAATGTTCACAGGTGTCCCTTGTCTCGTAGTTAATCCAGGATTTATACAAGCCCTGTGTCTAGTTCAGTCTTTGTGAGTTCTTAATATTGTCATGTTGGTTGTCCTATTTTCAACCTCTCATTTCTACCAATATTCAGAAATATAGAAAATACATTTTACCTAAGGGTTTATACTTTTACATGTCAGCATGAATTTCAGATCAACTCATGTCCCCGAGAATGACTGACTGTCTTCATGTCACCCAAGTATAGAAAATATTTAGAAATTAATTCTAATATATAGAGAGAAAAAATACAATACTGTAAATAGTATGTACTATATGTCCAGAGTTGAGAAAGCTCATTTTAAGAGTGCAGTCTATAACTTTCAATGATGGATTGAACAACTTTATCTCCTAAAGATGGCACTCAGGCATATTGAGACAAGCCATCCACTTTTACAAATAGGCTAAACCATATAGGAATATGGTCTTGCTGACAAAATCAATAATAAACTGTATACAAAGGTTCTGGAAGATGACCTCTTTCAAACTTTATTCAGATAGCTCACACCCTAGATGACACAAACACACAGAAATCCTTGTATATATGCTGAACTCTTGAATACAAATGCTGGGCATTCTGCTTAACTCGCACATTCCTTTGCATCATGTAGACAGAATATAAAATGACTGGTGCTTCACGTGACCTGAAATCTGTAAATAGAGCAGAAGGTGCAGGGCTTTTACCCATAATGAGCGAGGGAAAAGGGGGTAAAAGTTGAAAATGATCCTTATTGTACAGCTTTCTGTCTCTGAGCCACATGCATACCACCTGGCCCTCATTGCTCCAGGTGCAGACAGAATGTACTGGCTCTGTTTCCTTATTCACTAAATGTGCTTGTTGACTTAGAGAGTTTGGAGAGTGTTGTAGGGGAGTAGAGAGCAGCTCATCTGTCCAGTTAGAAATATTTTGTTCTAAAAATGTTTTGAGAACATTACCATGCAATGTTCTAATAATGTTTTTAGCGGGTAGTTTTATTTTTGTTCACAGAATGTTCTCTTAAAAGATGGCATGACATTCTCTAAAACACTCATAATCATAACAGTTTTAGAACACATCCCCTTGTAAAGTTCTTGTAAAGTTTTGTTTCCCAAAATGTCCCAAAAATCCCATGCCTTCGACTGCCACCTGATCCTCTCCCTTACTGTGGGGAAGCCCGGCCACCAGGTGCTCGCATACCGGGCGACGTGACGGTTCTCGATTTAATTTTTCTCATAAGGGTTTTTGAACTACTCTTAGTCTGACCTGTCGCCTAGGACCTGTTTGCCTTGGGAGACCCTACCAGGGGCATATATCCCTGGACAAAATAGCTCCTAGGGTCGTTCGGGTACTCAAACCCCTCCACTACATTAAGGTGGCAGTTCAAGGAGAGGATCCTCAAAGTATTACATTTATAATGTTCTAGTTTTGATAATAAGTCACATTACAAGATATCCTCATAACATTTTACAAACGTTAATTTGATAATGTTCCTCCTCTGTTATTATGGAACATTGTGCTGATATTTCAGCCCGTTCTCATCCCAAGGCATCATACACAATGCTCATATATATATACATAATTAAATCACAAAATCACTAGCTCTTTGGCATGAGGATCAGTACTGACAACATACTATCCTAAGGGCTGTAATTAATATATATATGGGGCAGAAGGCGCCTCCTAGTGGTCCAACCCTAACCCTACCCCAGACCTAAACCTACCCATACTGTGCGTGTTATATTGTACATTCCCAAAACATCCTCAAAATATTACAGTTATAATGTTTTATCTTAGTTTACATTAAAGGAACATTATTTGAAATGAGAAAACATCCTTAAAACATTATTTGAACATTACATTCAAATGTTGTCTTTAAAACATTAACCAAACTTTTAGGGAATGTTATCCAGAGTTCTGAGAACGTTCCCTGCAAGCGAAGTGGCGTGACTCAGTGACATAATGCACCGTGGCTGCACCTCTCAGTGTTCCACCGAGCTAAATAAATAAAGGCTAAAGCTCAAACATTATACGTGCTTCACAGATTCCCTCTGGATGATTTGTAAATGAAACCAGTTTATGTGTCATCAAATAAAATCAGATACAGATTTACACATTAAACATATTACATATCCTGTATATGTGTGCATACACACACACATAAGCTACAAAATTATAATGCTATAAACTATATGTCTTTGTACATCATTTTGTATTATTTTTATTTAATATAAAATATTATTCTTATATCAAATAATATATTATATTATATTATTTGAAATGTGATTTTTGTTTATTATTTTTTGTATTTATTTTATTTGTATTTGTTTTATAATATAGCAAACTATAATAGTTATGTGTGTGCGAATGTAAAAAATATTGGTTTACATTTTTTGAATGTTATCTGAAACAGGACACCTAGCCACCAAATTGCAGTGCACAATGACTGAGGAGTGGAATTCTTGATATCCATTCCTCTTTTGTGTGATACCTGATGAATCAGGAGAAAGAGCCTGAGAATGGCTGACTGGACATCTGTGAAGTTAACAACATTATGTCCCACATCCCCATCCCTTAAGATGCTATCTTCAGCATTAATAGACAACTGATTATACAGGTTTGTGACCAATATAATAGGTATTGGGTCGTACTACTACTCGAGAAGAAAATGATGAGACTGAGATACTTCTTAATCAAGAAAATTAGTGAGAACTGCTGTGATGTCTATTTTGATCTGATCCTTTCCTGGTGAAGTTGACATCATAGCGCCACCATGTGGTTTGGTTTCATCAGGATATGGCCAAAATAATTAATAAAATGTTGGTAAATTAAGAGCTAATATTTACAAGGAATGTAAGAGGTCCCATTTATTGGAAGATGGAAAACAAATAAAAAGACAAAGTTACACATATTCAGATTTTAGTAAAAATATTTATTACCCTAAACATTAACTTTACATGCATAGTGAGACATGAAGTATCTTAATACATCAAAATAAATAAATAAATGAAAAAAGCTACAAAATAAAATAATACTGAAACATTAATTGTATGCCATTTGAGGCTCAGTTTTTACACATTAAGAGTGTTCATTTAATTCACATGCTGAAATCAAATTTGTCCGGTGAACCCAGTGGCAGCATTTAATAATAAATGATGGGCTACTATAAATACTGCAAAAGTAAGTGCAAAAATTGAGTAAACGAAGATTTTCATTTTCAAAAGGAAATCCTAAAGACTGGATGTTAAATCACTAGCTGTTTGGCATTAGGATCAGTACTGACAACATACTATCCTAAGGGCTGTAATATGCTGCAGTGACAGATGTTTTGCCAATCGTGTCTTTCTGTATCGAGTTAGTTCTGGATTTAGATGAGGATAAAAATAAATGTAGAAAGCATTCTAAGAACTGGACTCACCAGTAAGGGGCAGTAAGACTCCAAGATGACACTGCCATTGAACGGTTTTGTGACAAGAGTTTGCTAAATTTCACTACCATTATTTGTTTTTGTACAGTACAGAGAATCCTATTGCAGTAGTCTTGATGTTTAAAAAAATGTGTTTATTAGCAATAGCGTGTAGTGTGTACTGGTAAATAGAACATCTAAAAAATTTTTTTTTAAACAAATATTATGTTCTGTCTCGAAATATATTACTTTAAGTCAGTTATTATTTCCAAACCTTTAAAAACAGATGCAAAACACCCCATGCATGGAAGACATGGCAACGTGGTCTTCTGTCTCTTAGACAATACGCAACTTTCATGCATTATTAAAATACAGTATTAATAATAAATATTATTTGGTGAACATCATTTGCAATATTCAGCCAGTATATACAAAAAGAAAATGCTTCTTGGCAAAGTAATACTGCCTTCGTAATTCAAAATCTCAGTGCAAAAGGATAAAATGATAAAATACAGCTTAATGTGAGTACAAAATATATTCACCTGTAAGAAGTATGACATTCACAGTAAAAAAAAAAAAAAAGATTTACCACACAAAGGTCAGGTGAATAACACGTTCTTGAAAAAGATCATACAAACAAGCAGTTCTCCGATAACAAAACCAAACATGTTGACAGTGAAGAGGGAAAAAAAACTATATGCAAATAATATAAATTCAGACATCAACAATGCATAAAAACCTGCCAAGAAATCATGTAAATGTAAATTTTGAATATGCCATTAGCAAATATGCATCAATGTTTTGGTTGTGGCACTTGCCCAAAATAGTCTGCTTTCAAAAATACTGTAATGGCCTAACTTTAACTAGGTCAAAGAGCCTTAGATTGGATAAAATCATTTCATTAACAAATAAATAAATAAATAAATAAATAAATAAATAAATAAATAAATAAACAAATAAATAATTAAATACAACAACATACCAGCAGAATAAATAAATTATCATGCAAATAATAGAGAATCATTCATAATCAGATTTTCTATCTCTAAGAGAATATTCCCTAGTAACTCACAGACAAATCACCAGGAGAAAATGAATAAAACCAACTTGATTCCTAATTGGCAGCTAATATGAAGACACGTGACTGCTATATTTGCAAAAACAAACAGTATATGTCACAAAAACAATGTGTGCTCCTTTGAATTCAGATTGTGATTATGAACATTAGATACACAATAAATCTTTGGTCCAGTTGCTTATTATTACTGTAGCTGTCAAACATGCTGATAAAATTCTGATGTTCATTTCATAAATCAAACATTTTAAGCAAACTTTCAGTTTCGTGAATTGCTTATGGTTTGTTAATTGTGTCAACAGGGATTTATAAGTCATGCTGAAATGACAATGTAATCATAATTACATTCAGGTCATCAGGTTTTAATTTGTTGTACGGACATCACGCTGCAATTTTACAGTTAGGCCGATTTTTGTTGTGAATTTGAGTGAACCTAAAGCTCCTTGGAAGATGAAGGCCACGTATTCCTGACACAAAGATGGAGATGTATCTTCAAGGTATTAGTAGAAATCTGCATATATCTGTGCAGTCCAAACCCAATCACATCCTGCATACCACAAGGAATGACGCATACTTGGGTGACGTGAACAAAGTCAGTCATTCTCGGGGGACATGAGTTGAACTGGAATGCATGCTGACATGTCAAAGGAAGAGGACACTTAACAAAAAAAAGGACGCACACTTAAATCACTGCAAACACACACCAACAGCAGGAGCTTTAGAAGTACAAGTAGTAGGTCCAGTAGAGGAGGTTGATGAAGATGAAGGAGAGGGGGAAGGACAGCCGTGAGTAGTTGTCGATGTAATGCGGGTTCTCCACTTTGCAGCAGTTCAGACAGCGTATGATGCGGCGTGTCGTCGACATGCACTTGGTGCAGCGGTTCTCTGGCTGCGAGTTGATCTCCTCCTTACTCTCACTGGGGGTGGGGTTGCTGGTGCTGCCCATCCGGGACAGCATCTCCTCTCGTTTACGGGCCCGCAAAGCGCGGCTGCCGATGGAATTGACGATGCCGTTCATCTCGTCCTCGCGCTCCTGCATTTCCTGGCCATACTGGTGCAACAGTGAGACATAAATGTGTTAGATTTATTGTCCTGACTATAGCAAGGTGAAGATGATCTTATTCATGGCCATTATGGTATCGTTACTTATATGGTATCCTACCATATATGCATTGGCAGCATTCGGCTGGTGTAACGTGCAGAAATGGGCAACTGCATATTCAATCAGTGCGCCAAAGATGAAGCTGAAGCAGATGCCCAGATACACATCGATGGCTTTAATGAAGCAGTTGGCATTGGGTAGAGAGGTACGGGCGCCCATCATCAAGGTGGTCATTGTCAAGACTGTGGTCACTCCTATGAGTTAATGCCAAAAGGTTCTGAATTATAAAACATTAGGGAATCCTATAAACTGTCAAAGCCATTTGGTAAAATCCTGTGTAAAGGTGAAAGAAAGAGGTTTGTAGCTCCTCGCATTGCTAAATCTTTAGTTGCCTTGACAAGAACGTTAAAATTCAATAGATTTTCTGTTACAAATCAAATGAATTTAAGTTACCTTTTTAAGTTTTCAGTTGTTAGTTGAGTTTACTTAAATTACTTAGGTTGACTTTTTTTTTTAGATTAGATTAAAGGGTTAGTTCACCCAAAAATGAAAATTCTGTCAGTATTTACTCACCCTCATGTTGTTCCAGCCATGTAAGACGTTCGTTCATTTTCGGAACACAAATTAAGATATTTTTGATGAAATCTGAGAGCTGGATCACTCCTGCATACTAGTCCATAGGCTTTTTGAGGAATTGAAACTTGCCGGCCTCGAAAAGTTATTAAAAACATTGTTAAAATAGTCCAAGTGACTACAGTTTATCAAACGACGAGAAAACTTTTTGTGCGCAAAAAACAAAAATAACGACTTTATTTCAACTATTCATTTACTTCTCTCTCTGCCTCGAGTCAGGTTACTAGTTTAATAACGTAAGCTTCTGTTATTGTACGTCACACGCATCACACACATGACCAGCATCGGCCAATAGTGAGCCTACGTGTGACGTAGCTCTACGTTATCACTGTATGTTAACTGACTAGAGGCTCATAGAGAAGTGAATAGTTGAAATAAAGTCATTATTTTTGTTTGTTTTTGCGCACAAAAAGTATTTTCGTCGCTTGATAAAGTTAAGATTGAGCCACTGAAGTCACTTGGACTATTTTAACGATGTCTTTAATAACTTTATGAGGCCGGCAAGTTTCAATTCCTCAAGAAGCCTATGGACTAGTATGCAGGAGTGATCCAGCTCTCAGATTTCATCAAAAATATCTTAATTTGTGTTCCGAAGATGAACGGAGGTCTACAGGGTTGGAACAACATGAGGGTGAGTAAATACTGACAGAATTTTCATTTTTGGGTGAACTAACCCTTTAAGAACACTTTTTTACAGTGTATAATGCAATAATGTCTCCTTACTAGGGTTCCCTGAGAGTGAAACGGGGCACTGCATCATGGCTTGACACTATGGGAACGCTTCACATGAGCCAATGCCTGAAGCATCTGAAAAAAGTCCTTTTTGGGCACAATAAAGCACTGGCTGTAAAACCATGAATTTCTCTCTGGGACGGGTACTTTCTCTATGGCCCCTTTCAACCAGGAGAGATTGTAAATCCTGATTGAAAAATACTTTTTCCTGATTCTTGACATAGGCCTACCACTGTTGCTGCTACACCATTGAACTGTAACCCACTGTAAGCTTTTCTTACGGTATTCAGTACCCACTGAGAGACATTTGGCAGTAGCTGCCACACTGTCAGAAAGTCTGACAGAGGGATCATTTTTTTCGATGGAAATGGCCTGTCTGGTGCCTTCAAAATCAAAACTGGCAGGGACCAACCGAGCAGGCTTAATGGAAAGATGGCTTATTACTAAAGATGGAGCGAATGGCCCGTTGGGATCCTCCACCACCCCCAAAACACTGTTAATGGTGGGGCTATGCCTGCAGAGGTTCCCAAAGGAAGGTCAGGCACACAATATTTCAGTGTCCACTGACCTCCTTAGGAGGGGTTCCCCTCAGGTGCCAGGGCTCACAACAGTCAGGAGTCTGTCATGAAAGAGATGACAGACCTAAGTTCCTGTCTCTCCCTGATAGATGTGTCTAAGTGCAATTCCCGGTTGCTCTGCATTTGTTGGGGCGGTGGGGGGTGTCATTTTGCTCATGCCTCCTTTCGCTGGACAGTTTCTTGGCCTCCTGGTACCTGTCGATGATGTCATTAACCACATTGCTGAACAGGCCAGAATGTGAAATTGGGGCATCCAAAAGGAAAGCTTTTTCTTTCTTTTATCCCTGTGAGCAGCAGGGAGGTTGCCATAGGTCAGATGTTAACCTTTTCACATGCAAGTATAAAATGTTCTAGCTGACCCCCCAGCGTGAGTTTTTTAGGGCGTATCACCTTATTATTTCTATGACGCTTGCCATGTGACACACCGCAGCCACAATTGTGCTGTATGACAGATGTATAGCTTTCATTTAGTTTTTCATTTCTCATTCAAAATATTCACAAACTTTAAACTATATCATGAACAATCTGATATTCCTATTCTCAAATATGTGTAAGTTAAAGTGTTTTGTTTTTTAAAAGCCTATTATGATCATGAAAGTTGATTAGTTCAAGTTACTGAATACCGAAGAGGTGTTGATATATCTTGATCTTGTGTTAATTTGGAAATGATTGCTTTCCGTTCTTACCTATGCAGATGCGAGCAGGTACAGAAGACTGACTGATCCAAAATGAGACCCAGGACAGGACCACCAAAGCACTGGAAGGAACATACGTCTCCAGAATGAAATATAAGATGCTCCGCTTGAGTTTGAAGTGGAAGATCAACTTTGGGTAGTTACCTGTTACATTATTAGTAAATAAAAGAGAAAGTAAAAACATCAATACAGCAAATATCTGTGTGTGTGTGTGTGTGTGTGTGTGTGTACATACCAGTCTCGTAAACGGCTTCAGATTCAGAGGTGTAGTGGTCCTCAAGGGTGTACTGAGCCAGATGTAAATGATCAAGGCCGCTAACTGACTGGTTTCCCCGTGTCCAATAGAAAACAACATCTTTCACGTTATATCCCCCTGAGGAGAATATATAAATCGAAGAGCCAATTATCACCACACAATAAATAATTCCAACGCTGAGAGCTACTATATTTACATCAAACACTTATAGAGCAGTAAGAAAGCATTTGATTATCTCTGATTTTATATGCAGCCGAGCACTATGCTATAATAGAGGGATTACAAAAGGCTAAATTCAATTTATTTTTGAACAGAGCTGTTTAGTAATTTGTAAGCCAAACTGAAATGTTAATTCACCATGGGTAATTCTGTTACAAATACTTTTCTGATCTGCTATTTGTCAGTTACAACGTCACTCTGTAGGCCAAAACGCGGAAGTGTGTTAGCATTTTAGCACTCCCGGTTCCCTCGCTCTAAAGTCTATGAGATTTTTGAATGGATTTTTGCTAAATCGTCTGAAAAAAGGACTGTGGTGAACAAAGCCTCTAAATATTTGAGGTATGACAGAGCACATAGTTATAACCAGCTTGTGATTTTTTAAACTTTATCTGCTTATGTTTTTTAAAAACTTTATATTGGCTTCAAAATGAATACATTTTGGATTAACTTGTAAAGATGATCTTGATAGACAAAACGTCGTTTCCCAAAAGTCTATGGGGAAAATGCATAGATTTTTGATCGAGGGAACCCATGCGCCGCTAGCTTCCGAGTTGTCCTACAAAGTGACGTCATCACTTCGGCACTCTATAGTGTAATTCATGTCTTAAAAATCTACAAATTAAACAGCTCTGTTCATTGTTGCAATACATAATCTACACCTCAAGATGGCACTGTGTCATGCAAAGTTAAGTTTGCAAGAGGGTTTAAAAAATAACTTTGTATATTATCTAAAGAAAAAAAAAAAAACATTGTGAAATAAGTTGCCCTGATTCCATATATTAAAAAAATAAATAAAAATTAGGCATAGAGTAGGCTAGCTGTCACAGTGTGTTGCTAATTTCAAGTCACCATGAAATCTAAATGGACCGTTCTTTTATTGTATAATATTGCAGTATTTATTATAAATTATTTATCTGTGCATTTCTTTAATTCCTTGGCTGCCCTCATAATCTTTTATCAAAATAACTTTCCCCTCCCTCCTGGAGCTACATCTTATCTCTGCTCTGATGATGTGTTTACTGTTGCGAGGCGAGGGCAGGACGACCTGTCACTCACATCACAGCAATAGCAAACCACAACGATTCAATCATCCAGTCAATTCCAGATGGACAAAATCAAGTCAAGCCCTACATTATTTCTCGTTCAAGAAGCCATTTCACTCTGAGACACATCACAACAGGGAAAAAAAGACTAATGAAACTTTGGTTTGGTAATAGTCTAGGTGGCCCATTTATCTCCTGTTACATATTGTGTGAGTAACCATTCTGGACCTAAATGTTTGGTTAAATCAATTCAGAATATGTCTATTTTTGTCTCAGTATGGAGCATTAAAAAAACCTCATGCCAAATCAGCAGTCTTGGGTGAGTGAGCATATGGAAGATCGTGTATGCAGATTAATTTTTTACAACTTAAGGAACATTTATGGTGTGTATACCTGGAGCATCTATCATTAGTGACATTAATATTTCACAAGAGTTTCACAAATTTAAAAAGGCTTGAAACATGCATGTGTCTTAAAGGGTTAGATACTCTTATGCATGCCACACAGCATAAATCACAAGCACTCTGCAGAGCAGATTAAAGAAGAGACTAGAGGCACTATATAAGATCAACTCATAAAATTCACTAATTAGGTCTCATTCACCAACAAATGTGTTATTTTAAATTTTATATAACCATTTTCAAAAATAATAGAAAGAAATGTTTCTTGATCACCAAATCAGAAATTATTTCTGAAGGATCATGTGGAGCTAAAGACTGGGGTAATGATGCTGACAATTCAGCTTTGCTATCGCAAGAATAAATGAGGCTTTAAAATATATTAAAATAATTAATTACAAATGTAATAGTGATTGTAAAAAAAGACTTGCTGACATAATAAACATTACTCACACATAAAATGTGTAAAGATTCTAAATGTACAGTAGTGTAAAAATAAAAATGTAATATAACCCAACCCTATAATGAGTCTTTCTTATTTTGGAATAAAAATGATGCGTTCATTAAAGTATGGTGCATTTATCTGGTTACATTTATATGAACGTTTTACATTGTAAACACCTACACAATTACTAGTGAACCAAACCCACTGAGTTATTTCTACAATATTTGGCAATGGTTTCAAGAGAAATAGAGAATTATTTGAGGCCTACAGCTTTCAAGTTGAAGCATGCACGTCTGCCTGTCCATGGGGTATTTGGTTAGGTCCATACTGCAGGCCACTGTGGTGGTAATTCTAGAGAAACAGGGAGGTAAAAAAAAGAGAGTAACATACATGTTGTTACTTATATAACACTGGGAATCAGCTCACTGTCCGTGGACGCTACTTTCAAGCTTAATTTTTGATGCCAGCTGCCCATCTGTGCAAAGGCTCCCTGGCACCACGTCTATTTTCACCCTGTTTTCCACTATTGTGAACTCGTTCACTAACCCATATTTATCCCGACCTCTTTCTAGTTGTCTTCTGATGCCCCATTCCCTCTATCAACCCTCCAGTCAGTCCATCAACAGTAAGCCCATTCCTCAACAATAAGACCCCAGTATAGCATCTGAATGAAGACCAGATTCAAGTGAATGACACCTCACTACCTCAGGGCATACAGCACAGTTCCGTTGGGAAATATCCGGATCAGTCTGTTTTCGACAGTGATGTCATGCAGGAAGGATTTCTTGGAATCCACAATGAATGTGTCAGGGACCCACAGGAGCTCCACAAGTCTCCCATCCAGACTCAAGCTCTTATTGCCATCAAAACACAAGCGTTCATCTGTCCAGCGCTGACGAAGAAAGATGGTGGCTGTGTAATCCTGGAGGGGTTGAACAGATTCTTAATTCAGCGATGATGTGCACCACAAGCTTAGATTTACATCATACACTCAGCTCTTATACAACTCTGTCCAAAGATCAAAGGGGCCAATGATGTGACTTTTTTTTTTTTTACTTTTGAGATTTAAAAAGAAAAACCACATTAAAATGCAGTTCATACAGATAGTGAATTGAACACATCTCAAAGTCAACTATTGAAAATGTATATTATATTATATTATAATGATGAAAAGGGAAAGTTGGTTCTTGCGAATAAAGAAAAGAAAATCAACTTTCATGACTCAACACTGAAAACAATTTTTGTAAAGGTGTGTTCTTTTTAAAGCATAATGGAAATATGGGTTACACTATGTTAATGTGAAGTAGTTACATTGTTCTAGAAGTACTGAATAATATTAATTAACTACATGTAGCCTACTTACTAAAAAGTTAGGGTTTGGTTTAGGGTTAGTTACTTGTAATTATGCATAATTTGTTAATACTATAGTAACTATGTCACCTTAAAATCAAGTATAACCATATTGTGTTTACGTGTATCAGTTTCAATATTTTATTTACAGTGTTAAAACATATATACATGAATGAATCATTCAAAATAAGATACATATTCAAAAATATATTCTCATTTCATGCTGACTTTTATTATGTTTCTTTTTTATGATAAATGCATTTTAAAAATATGAACGGAACATGATTAATAAAATGACATTTCTAAGAACTTGACACTTGCATTATGAACTAGTTTTTCTACTTTTCATCACCTCACATGTATTTGTTATTGAACACTTATGCTTTTATATTAGTTGTGCTTTGAGGAAAACATTTACAGACATACGTTTATAATATCAGTTTACAATATAATGTTATAATATGAGTTCTTTCATGACAACTCTCAGAATGTTTGATATGGTAATGGATATATATGACAAAGTTAATGGTCAGAATATCGCTGCTGCTGCACAGCAAGTACAGGACTTGCCATGGGAAATACATACACAACATGCTGCTGTGAGAAAGTAAGACTTGCTGCTTCTGTACAATATGTACATGAATTACCCGGCGTAGCATATCTATACAGGTGGAGCTGAGGAAGGTGGAGGGTTTCTGAAAGCACGTTGCAAACTGCTACAGCAGACGCTGACCAAATATTTGAAAGCTCAGCAGCAAATTTATAGGCTACTAACAGAGCAGGAACCAATCACCTGTTGCCTAGTATAGAGAACAATGTGATTGCAATCAGATTGAGTTAAAGGTGCAATGTGTAATAATTTTGAGTATCTATTAACAGAAATGCAATATGACATCCATAACTGTTTTCAGTGGTGTATAAATGAATTTACTTAAGAACTTACTTAATAAATGTAATGTTTTTATTACTTTAGAATGAGACATTTATATCTACATAACTGCAGGCACCCCCTTCTATGAAGGTCGACATATTGTGACGTCATGTTTCTACCGTAGCAGACAGCGAACAAATGGCCCTACAGAGCATGTTTCATCATTACCTTGAAAGAGAAGCAGCAGAAAGCTAGAAGTTAGCCATCGCAGGTGTAAAATATGTATTTGGATTGTTTCATGTAACTTAGTTCTTCTCCCTCGCTGTGTTATGGCTTTGCTATGTGGGGATACATGTGCTGGTTACGTTCGTGAGACAGCTGATTAGTAATCTTGTCATTGACCGTAAAACAGTAACGTTACAGGAATCACAACCTGTAAATCGCGGCCGACAAGTCGATCTTGGAAACATTTTAAGTCGATTGCGAAGAGTTTTAAAAATAGGAGAAAAAAAGCCTATTGTGTGTAGTAAATGGTGTCTAGGAGATGCGGAGGCGCGCGTTGTTACAATCACATCATTTTTGACGCACCTTTGGGCTCATGCGGATGCGTCGAGTTTAAACAAGACTTTACGCTTTAACCATCTCAGTCACAGTAACAGCTCATATTAGCCAGGTAAACTTTTATACCCTGTTAGAAATAAAATATATAGTTGCATAGTTTCATGGTTCTTCTCCCTCGTTGTATTATGGGTTTGCTATGTGGGGAGAAATGTGCTGGCTACGTTTGTGAGACAATCAGCTGATTACTATTATTATGTTATATTCTATATTAAAGGGATACTCCACTTTTTTTGGAAATAGGCTCATTTTACCACTCCCCCAGAGTTAAACAGCTGGGTTTTACCGTTTTCAAATCCATTCAGCCCATTTTCTGATATTTAGAAGAATATCAGTAACCAGACAGTTTCTGGTCTCATTGACTTCCATAGTAGGAAAAAAATATACTATGGAAGTCAATGAGACCAGAAATTGTTTGGTTACTGATATTCTTCTAAATATTAAAAAAAATCGGCTGAATACATTCGAAAATGGTAAAACCCAACTGTTTTACTCTGGGGGAGTGGTAAAATGAGCCTATTTCCAAAAAAAGTGGAGTATCCCTTGATACTCACCTGACTATTGCTTTGTAAACTTTATCCATGATGTGCTTTATAATGGACTGTGGTACAGAAACAGTGACAATGTTACACACTCTTGGCTATTCTCTGCTGTCTCAGACGACATGTTTGTCCCGTTTTAGCCACTGCAGCTTCCTCAAAAGGGAGGGGTGAGCAATGGGCTGAGCCCTTAGTGCAACTAGCAACCGAACCGCTAGATGCCGCAAAAAAAAATCACACACTGCACCTTTAAAGACCTATAGCTTGTGCATCAGGAGTTCATGACAATACTTATTGTCTTAGTAATTTAGGAATATATTTGTATGTTTGTGGTTTATAAGATTATCCTACCATGTTGATTTCTGATATGGTGTCTATGCTGGCGATATCCAGACTCATGCCTACAGTAACAGGGCCATCTGAAGAAGAAAAAAAAGACACACACACTGCATTTAGTACAGAGTCACTGCTAACAGAGGAAGACAGAAGAAAAAGGGCTCTTAATTTACATGCGTTACAGGAGTGGACTGCATCAACTCAAGCCTGGAGCGTTTTCCACCGAATTTAATTTAGTTTTAATTGCAGTTGTTGATGGTGATAGGACTTTAGAGAAGATAAAATCCACTTATGCAATATAATAGTTTGTGTAAGTGTAAATGTAAAAGCTTTGTACGTCGTACTGTCAAAGAATGGCCTAAGGTATTTGTTGTATCCCTTCATCAGTTTCTGAATGGTGGGAGGCAAAATCTCCTCCGAGCTGGCGACAGAGCCATCCATGATCCTGTAAAAGCAGCAGAACACAAAACACACATTAGGCACTGCGTTACCCCACAAGTCAAAGCAGAAAAACAGAAAAGCAATGTTACTTCCACCGAGCCAAGGCATGTTGTGATCATGTGGACTTCAATTGCCAATAACTTATGACCTAGATTTCAGATTATGTGTATTTTTAGGTTTCATCTGTTCTCTCATTAAAGCACTGCTGCCGACTGTGGCGCGTGCCATTTCAACATCCTCAGTGATGGTAGAAGCGACTGTGTTCTCTCCCACAGAGCGAAGTCTCCGTTTCAACAGTGATAAGGACCCGTGAGCTTCAGATATTATTCAGCTTCAGGGTAACAACCCCACAGAGCACAGTAGCAAATGTAGGAAATACTTCAAGACATGTCTGAAAAAAATCCTGCTTGGTTGGCACTACACAATATACTCATAAATATTCTACAATGGAGAGAAACAACAAGTAGCCTACAGTGGGCCAAGCACAGCATGGGGACAGACATACACATGGATTTTGACATGCTTCTCAATGCGGCAAATCTCAAGCGTCTCTTCTGCTCTCTCAGACATCGCCCTAGCCAATATTTTTCCTCTTTACGTATAGATACATACAGTGAGGTCCAACGGTCTCAGAACCCGTTACCAAATCTAGTTTACACCAAAAAAAATGAACAAAGTTTAGTGATCTTAAAATAATTAGAACACAAAATAATGACGTAAAATGAAATTTGAGAAATTGATCGTGTGACTCTTTGTATCATTTTCAAATCATACTGTATCACACATGATCATCAGTCAAGTGCAGCTGTCATTTCAGTAAAAGATGGACAAATAAAATACTGAGACATTCTGAAATTCGTGTTCATTTTGCACCCACACTGTAAAAAAGTATTGTTGCAACTTAAAAAAAATGTGTAACCTGGTTGCCTTATTAATACAATAAGGAGATTGATTTAATCACCAGAAACTCAAAATATTATGTTATCTGAACTACATAAATTATCTAAGTTGATTTGACAAAAGAAAAAATGTTGTGATTACAAATCATGATTTTATTTTTCACAGTGTATACATTACTGTTTAAAAGTTTGGTGTTAGTATTTCTATTCAGCAACACTGGATTAAAAATGATCAAAGTTGACAACAAATATATTTATAATAAATATTTCTATTTAAAATAAAGGCTGTTCTTGTGAACTTTCCATTCAACAAAAAAAAAAAACAAGATAGAAAAATGTATCATGTTTCCACAAAAATAATAAGCAGCACAACTTGTCAACTGTTGACAAGAAAGGATTATTGAGCAAATCAGCATATTAGATATTATATTAAAATGGGGGAAAATTATTCAGTAACACTTTACAATAGGGGTGCACACTAATACACATTAATTTATGTTTAACTAATGCACAGATAGTCATGAGTTAATATATGACTAATGAGTCACATTAGTGCACCCATATTGTAAAGTGTTACCAAATATTCTATTGTATTGTAATGATTTCACAATTTCACAGTTTACTGTATTTTTGATCAAATTAAGTTAGCCTTGGTGATCATAAATGTCTTTTAAAGATTAAATTATCTAACTGACTTTTAATTGGTAGTACAATTTGTCACACAAATGAGTAAGACTTTTGGACCTCAATTCAATTTAAACATTAATAAAAAAATAAAAAAAATCAGGAACAACTAAATAAGCAGCACTCATTTGAAACTATAATTCACCTGTATTCATGTCAGTATGAGGCATTTTTGTCCAGTTTTGATTGTCACCCATAATATGTACAGAATTATGCATGCTAAAGTGCGCACTCTTATCTGAAGAAGAAAGACAGAGCTCGCCTGGGAAAGATCAAAAGAGAGGAATTGAGACATATGGTGAGAGAGAGAGTGTGTGAGAGAGTTTGGAAGACAGACGGAGAGCTTTAGGTCACTGATTTGATGTCTCTATTATTACTCTCCTTAAACTGTTAACAAGAAATTAAATAAAACAAAAATAAAAATGGAAGCGAACCAGGCAGGTCATCGCATTTATATTAGCCCCTATATAAACACATGGAAGAACTGTTCAAAGCATTCTTCACCTCTCAGACACATCTTATTACATTCTGCTAGCTATTTTCACTGGTAAGTGTTTCAGAACATTTGTTTTTAAGTAGCTCCACTATGCGAAGTCTGTCTCTACATGCCACCCATTGTGTTGAAGTGTGCTATTTCACCTTATCCTTAATAAGCAGAGACAAGTAAAAGTAAGCCATTTGTAGTTTGTTTTTTTTTCCCCTGAAAACGTGTCTATGTGGTTTTAGCAAAACATTGCTCTGCTTATTTGAGCATCCCTACACTGTGACTCGACAGCCAGTGACGTGACTTTGCTGATGGGGTATTCAAACAGTCTGACCTATGAAAAGGGTTCAATATTTTTGGTAATTATGTTTGGTGACACCAGTGGCACAGAAATTACACACTTCAGCTTTAATCGACTATCCTAGTCAAAAAATCAGGATGGCGTCGTTACCTTCAGAGGCTCAATAATCCTATAACTAAAGAACAATTTAGTATTCTGTCATGCCAGGAAAACAAGTAGGTCAAATAAGAAATAGCCATATAATCAAAGCAATGCCATTTGTGTTGTTTTATCTTATCATACATACAAACGAAACAAACATTTTCTAATTGGAATTGAATAAAACTAAAAAGAGTGAGCATGTGCCAAACTTATGCCAATTTATGATTATACGTTTTTAGTGTTAAATGGCAACCGTCTAGTGGTCTGTGAATGCTGGGTAGGCAGTTATTATCTGCTAATTGTGATAGTTGAAAAGCATCATACCCTTACAGGCTAACACCATATATTCTTGTGTTACATGCTTTGACATGCTCGTGTTGAGCTCACTCAAAATTATAACTGTCAGAGTGTGACAACTGCTCTTGAATGCTCTGAAAGCTTGAATGAGTACGGGGAGTGGCTTCCAATCCAAATCTCACTCGCCAATGTGCATTGGCTTGTTTTGTTACCACTCAAAGGTGATTCTACCCTCAGGCGAGATCGCATTGCATCACATAACGTCGAAAATGACTGACTGATAGGGAACTATATGTTAAAATTACATGATAATAATAAAACCACACTTAACTTTTCTTCTTAATGACCCCAACACCAAAGACAAAAGCAGATTAGTCTGCCTAAGATTTATTTCCATTTTTTCATGTAAATTTCGGAACCAAAACTAAATCCAGCCCACGTCTCTGGTGTTTAGTCTGATTGACGTGTTGTGTATGGAGGAAGAGTTCTCCGTCCGCAGGACTGTCTCCTCTACTGTTTCTGCTTTGGTCCACAGAGACACTTTCTCAAGCTTGTATCAACTCCATCTCCCCGTCTACACACATCAGTGGTTATTTGAGATATGAGCCCCAATTCTTTCTTTGGGAGACCTTGTCCATCATTGAAATAAAACTTAACTTTTCATTAAAACTGATAGGAAAAATATTAGATCAGCAATAAACTGATTTAAAAAAAAAGAAAAAGAAAAAAAAAGTAAGCCTGCAATGTGCCAGGCATTTGTTTATTGATACTAATGAGTTGAGAGTGATGATGATGACCTAATTATTTTCATAAATCTGTGCCCTCTTGAAACCACCATTGTGATCGCCTCCAGTGGTTTGGATTTGGTCCGGTGTGTCAAAGAAATGATTCTTTACTGTACTGAGGGGTTCATACATTAAATATTGCTTTTAAAATAGAGTGCTGTGTCTCTCATCAACAAAACAGTCATAAAGTATATTTATGTTTCAGATCTCTGGCAACTCACCTATAAAATAAAACTTTAATCATGGGGAGTTTTCATTAAAAAGACTTTTAAAATGGTCAAATTATAAATATTTTTTCTCTGAGGTCCACTTATAATGTTAGTAATGTTTTGATACCAAAAACTTATTTGAGTTTTTCATGCCCATTTCAATAAAACAGGCCATATCCTAAGCTCTAACTCTCTAACAATGTTTCCATGTGTGCTTACTTTAAGCGACTTTGGGTTTGTTCTTCATAGCCATTTACAAATTTGCACAGCAGTGGCAATTGCATGATATGGGTTTATTTCCAAAAATAAACAAGGGTGCTCAAGAGAAAAAGAGAGAGACATATTGATTGGATTTGGTTGCATTTATACTGTTGAAGACTGCAGCTTTAAGGTCAGTTCAAGTTTTGAGTTCTGAAAGTTACAGTATGATTTCACAGTACCTCGAGCTCTTTTACCTCAAGAGATCAAGTAACATATTTATGACGTATGACCCCTTTAAACACTATTGGTTCTGAATTGACCTCATTTAGACCAGCAGTATAAGATTTCAACAAACAAAAAACGTTAAGGCCATTTGCGAGACTAAGCCTTCAATAGAACATCCTATCTTCATGTGCTAAGCACTAAGAACCCAAAGAGGAGGTATTGCTCTTGTTTTTGTGGTTTAGTCTGTTATGTGATAGAAGCTGAATTCCAAGCCAAAGTATATGTACACCCACTAAATTCTCCCATCTTGCCAGGAAGAGAGACTGGAGATTGGAGAGGAAAGGAGGACAGGAAGGGGGTGGGTAAAAGCAGATGGTGAGGTGAATTGATGTTGGCACGCTTCTTCAACATCCCCCTTTGATCTTTTGTGGAGTCGTCCTGACCAGCAAGGTCCTATACATCTTCCCATCAAATTTCAAAGGTCATGCCAGAATACCAGCATCGATGATGAGATGCATATCTCATTAAATGGAATCTGCCTGAACTTTCATTGAGCATGGCTGAGTGACGGCAGTTCCAGTAAATCAATGTCTTGTTTCTACACTGTCACTAATCGTGTTAGCATTGCAGCTACTTCACTGCTGCATTGAAAGATAAGCTCAAACAGGCTAAACAGAGAGGAGACAAGATACGAGGGCTGGTATTTCCATCTGTAACCCGTACATTGACTCCGACGGTCTCATTCAGGCTTACCCAAAAGTCTACATGGATTAGCTATAATTCCATCCTTCCTTTAGCTACACCTTTCACCAAGCCCACATAATCTGGTGTGAATGGATACTTAAGGCATATAGTCTTTTATTTGCTGCCAAAAGAGTGAAACCTAAATTATACCGGCTTGTCATCACCCGTGAGAACTTGTTGACAAAAATGGGTTTTCCGCCTCGGCTTTCCTGGGAGCGTCGAGAAATGCCATGTTTATCAACTTTACAAAGTTACTACTGAAGTTAATGCACATCCTATTCTCTAGTTTTTGAGAAACAAATAAATTAAGGGGGAACAACACAAAAGCAATAAACACTGTACACCCCAGTCATATTCAGCTTGCCACATCACAATAATGAGAAAAGTGAGTTTGAAAAAAGCCACCAGGAGTTTCTTACCTGCTGATGAAAAGGAGGAGGAGCAAAGACCCCACAAAGCTACACAAATGCATGGCTGCTTGAGAGTTACGCGTCCAACTGAGAAATGAGAGATAACAAAATGGAGAGATTATCTAGAGATTCAACAGATTTGTACACAGAGATTAAGCATTACTGACAAATTTTGCAGTTAGCATAAGCACTCAACATTTTAGCTTGATGAGCCAGGCAAGATTTCTCAATCCTACTTAAGTGTGTTTAGAGACTGTTAACAAAATATACCCCTTACTCAAGTTTTGACTTAAGCTATAAGGCAATACCATTAAAAAAGGTTTCAAAATGCTATCAACAATATACATCACAGCATACTTTGAGAGAAAAAAGACCAGCTAACCAATTGAGATATACAGTGGGGAGAACAAGTATTTGAAACACCGTGGATTTAGCATGTTTTCCCACTTACAAAGCATGTAGAAGTCTGTAAATTTTATCATAGGTACCGTACTCTTCAACTGTGAGTGACAGAATCTAAATCAAAATCTAGAAAATCACGTTGTATGATTTTTAATTCATTTGCATCTTATTGCATGACATAAGTATTTGATGCATCAGAAAAGCAGACCTTATTTAGTACAGAATCCTTTGTTTGCAATTACAGAGATCATCCATTTCCTATATTTCCTGATCTGGAGAGGGTCTGTATGGAGGAGTGCGCCAAAATCCCTGCTGCAGTGTCTGCAAACCTGGGGCCTCATTTATAAACCTTGCGTACGCACAAAAGAAGGCGTACGCCGCTCTCTACGCAATAGTTGGTATTTATAAAAAGCAAACTTGACGGTAAAATGTGCGGTCCTTCATGCAAAGCTCTGACCCAGGCGTACGCACAAAAACGGGTGAAATGAGAAATGGCGACGCCGTCGTCAGTTGGAAAAAACACGTGAAAGTGTGTGAAACTGTAGACGGTTGTGTAAAATAAATGGCAATACTGCCTCTTATAAATAACATGAAGACTTCACAAAGCAAGTCTTACAATTAACAGCCTACACGAACACCCGTTTGATCGATCTGTAACAGAAATGCAAATTAACACATATTTCCAAAAAGAAAGTGAAATATGTTCTGCCATAATATTGACATATACAATTCATCCTCATTAATAAGATGGTAAACAGAATGAAATAATGTACACAATATTCTCGCCAATAGGCCTATGTCCGTCTAACGGAGCAGATATAGCAATTAGATAGTCAGTCAGATAGATAGATAATTAGGGATATATATAGATAGATCGATAAATAGATAGATGTATTATTTGTCCACTGGGGAAAGTTGTTTCCATCGTAAAAATATCTTCATCAGCTATGGAATCATGGTGTTCATGCATATGCCTTTAGTTTGTTTTATTTTTGATAAAATAGGCTAACGTATGACGTATGTCTCAACCATTCAGAAAGCTGCAAGAAATTACATTTGCGCTGAACTATTTCCCATTTAGATTATAACCAACATCCGTAGCTTGTCAGCAAAAGTGTGTGAAATTCTATGTAGTATGAACTCCAGGCAGCTAGGTGGCAATGTGAAGCACTGCCACACTACAACACCAAGTCTGCGCGCCTGCGTACAACCTTCACTGTCTAGCAGACTTTTGCGTTTTTACCCTTTAGATGGGAACACAATGGTGGAGTGTTTTTAAGATTTCCACTCTGGAGGGTGGTTTTTAAGCCCCAAAAACACTGTCGCCGTGTATATTTTTACGTTTTCACCTGTGAGCATTCTCGTGTAAACAGGGCCTGAGTGTGTGGACAGGTGTACAGGTCCAAACAGGCGCAGTTAATAATGAGTGGAGAACAGGAGGACTGCTTAAAGAGAAACTGACAGGTCTGTGAGAGCCGTAATTCTTACTGGTTGGTAGGTGATCAAATATTTAGGTCGAATTAAAATTACAAATCCTACAATGTGATTTTCTGTATTTTTGTTTTAGATTCCGTCACTCACAGTTGAAGAGTAGCCTGATAAAAATGACAGACTTCTACATGCTTTGTATAGGGGGGAAACCTGCAAAATCAGAAGTGTGTCAAATACTTGTTCTGCCCACTGTATATGGAAAAATGTTGTGAAAATAGCTAATTTAAACCATTTCCTATACTTGATGCCAATAATACAGTCCCGACTTTGTGTTATCAAACATCAAAATATTTCATTCAAATTCATAAACGTAGCCTACATCATAATATGACCCACTGCGCACTTACATTTAAAGCCGGGCAATCAAATGCATTTCCCAAACGCTTGATTATGATTTGTGAAACTTTCATACAGTTTGTCCTGTGAAATCCTTAACCTCAGATCTGTCTCTTTAAATTTGACCCTTGAAAAGATGCATTCTGATGCATATAATCCCAGAACACATAGTGAAATAATCTCTCAAAAATGTCTTTGAGAACAGATTTACTGATGGTGACATTAAAGTAGATAGATATGGTTCTTATTTTCAGGGAATTATGTAAAACCACTTAAGCTATATGACCACCAACTACTACGCAAAGACAACAAGATACAACAGTATAAGCAGTATTTAGGTTTTAAAATGATTCTCAATTCCCTCATTCTTGATACTTTCCAGTTGGCTCTGAGCCGTTCTGCCTTGTAAATACAATAGTTAATCTAGCACTGTATTTAATAGATACTTTTTATCTTCTCAATGTCTATTTTAAGCCTTGATGGCAAAAAATTGTCTGTGATCCTTTGCTCAGTCTTCCAGCACCATTGCAATCTGTGTGCAGCTGCGACGATAAGTTTGAGACAACAGACGTCTGCCCTGCAGCATTTGTCCATACACATACAATGTGCAGGAAGATGTAAAAATGCTTCAATTTGAATTGCATGGATAGTGCTTCAAAGTATTTAAAGCGGGCATTGTGTCATGTTGACATGGTTGTCATGTTGACGTGGCCAAACAAACACAAAACTGTCATATTGTTAACATGAAAAAGGAAAATCTGTTCTTGACCTAGATTAATATGTTCTTTTTTTACACAGATCAACACAAGCAAATAAAACACAAAAACTGAAATGTAATACTCTTCTATTCTGCCTGTCGGTGCTTTTGAATCCTGATTGCTCCACATACTGCAACTCATCAGAACATTTGATTTCATTATTTATAATTTTAACACCCTGTCTCTTTTCTATTCATCTGCTCTTCATGATGATTTGTGATAGAGGTGGGTAGCAGAATAAGTACCACTGTACAAACGTACCAAAATAGGTTTTCTGTAACAAATTTTGAAAGGTAAAAAAAAACTGGGTTCCACACAACTGAAATACACTAATTTTATGCACAGATGAAAGAAAATCATACAGGGTTGGAACATCGTGAGGGTGAATAAATAATGATAGAATTATTTTTAAGTGAACTAGCCCTTTCATTTTTGTAAGCACAAGTCATCAAAAGTTGACATATCCTTACAAGAAGAAAATGTTGATGTCTCCAGGCTTATTTGTACCCGCATACATGAAACATGCAGCATTCCCCCAGCTCCCCACTGCAAAAGCTGTTCTGTCTAATTCCTATACCCTCGTGGTTTGTGACTCAGTGTCTGCTTGAAGGATCCTGGTCTTAAGACTGAGATGTAACTCATTTAGAGTGACAGATGACATCTTCAATGAGGTCTGGACCGTGATAGGGAAGACTCTGCGGGAAGGTTACACTGGACTTGTTTAATCATCTTACCAAAAACCCAAAAAGCCTGAAGCTGGGAATGCTTTGGTGGTTATGGGTATAGACCATTTTGCAAGATGGAAACAACACTGGTCCAGAAGCACTTCCTGTTTCAGTTTTTTAACACTACATAAAAGCTGGGATAAAATACAACCAACAGAAAATATAAAACTGAATCAAAAAGTTAAACAAACATCTTTAAGATGCTTTCTTTACATGTAAAATAAAGAAAACAGTTACAAACTGAAACAGGAAGCGTTTCTGGACCAACGTTGTTTACATCTTGCAAAATGGTCTATTGGATCGCCAGTGCTACAGATATACTGGTCAGTCCTTTTGACTTTCTCATGTAATACCATTAAAAAAAAAATTCTCGTGCTCACCCAGCCCGGTCTCATCCCAAGGCGTCATATACTGACGCTTTTGACATTTCCTCAACGAACATGCCAACCTTTAGCGTCAATATGAGACACAGATATATATGGGCCAGAAGGCCAATATATATACCCCACACCTAAACCTACCCATAACCGAAGCGTGTTATATTGATGCTAAAGAGTGCCATGTGCGTTGGATGTAGACGAAATGTCAACAGCGTCACTATATGACCCTTGGGATGAGAATGCGTAGGCTCAGCAAGAAGACTGCATTTTTTTATCCAAAAAATACTGTAAAACATGTAAAATGTATTCCTGTGATGGTTCAGCATCATTACCCCAGACTTCAGTGTCATGTGATCCTAATGCTGATTTGGTGCGAAACATTTCCTAATATTATCAATGTTGAAAATGGTTGTGCTGCTTAATAATTTTATGGAAACTGTGATCATTTTTGTAGGATTATTTGATGAATAGAATGTTTTAAAAAAAAAAATTATTTGAAATAAAAATATTTCGACATAAAAAAATAAATCATTTTTTATCAATTTAATGTGTCCTTGCTGAATAAAAGTATCATTTTTATCATTATTAAAAAAAATCATACTGGTCCCAAACCTTTCAACGCTGGGATAATTAAAAGACTTAACAGCTGTCTGACATTGCTAAGCTACATCCATCTAAAAAGCAAAGAGCCTCAGCTATTTTTCTTTATTGCACACCTTCTTGCTATATTGACTTCAAACACCAGATATCTCAGCGAGAATCTAGGTCAGTGAATGACTGAGTTCTATCTTTTGCAATGGCAGGGTCCAATTACTGTTCTTTGACAAACTGAAAAATATCTTCAGAGAACCTTCTGAATTAATCATGAAAGCAAAACATGAGCATTACGTGAAGCATTTTATTTTTTAAAGCCTTTCTTGGCCATTTAATTTACTAAAAATACATATTTCTTTTTTGCTGTTCATTTGTGTGCATGATGTAGCAGGGAAAACATCTCATCTTTCCACTTAGAATATTGTAAATAATAAAATATGAATGTGGAAGAGAGAGAGTTTGTGCACACTGCACAGGGTAAATGTGATCATCCTGCCTTTAATAGAGATTATCTGGCCATCTCATGGCACCCAAATTAAACCGCTTTCAACACAACTGATCATTTACCAACTAAAAGAGCTCATGAGAAATGCAGATTTGAAAACCAATGGAGAGCTTAGCCTTAAGCCATCAGCTAATCACAAGATAGAAATCTGGACAGTTTCTCATAGGTTTTCAGGCCACAGTCTATTGTAATGTGTGACAAAAGACACCAATAAGCTATTATGTCACTTGAGGACGTAAGAATAATCTCAATTCAAGGGCCTTAACTTAGTAAACATCATAAAAGTAATCCCAAAATTAAAAGTAGTAAAACATCATAAAAGTAATCCTTGTGACTCTAGTGGTTTAACCTCAATTTATCTTGTGCAAAACATAAATTACCATTTTGTTTACAAAATATTACGCTCCAACGAACATTTACACAACAAAGTCTGCTCTTGCATCAATACAGCACTCTTGCGTCGTCTTGCTGTAATGAATGTAAATTAGAGATTAATATTTTGTAAATAAAGTGGCATATTATGTTGTTGTTGGGGTTTTTTGCACAAATAGGCTACTCTTAATAAAACTGAGGTTAAACAACTGGCGTCACATGAATTATTTTACTGATGTCTTTACTACCTTTCTGGGCCTTGAAATTGGTAGTTATGTATAGGCTGTCAATGGAGGGACAGAAAGTTCTCAGATTTAATTAAAAAGATCTTCAGTTGTTTTCCGAAGATCAATAAATGTCTTTTTGGGTGAACTAACCCTTTAACATTTCACATGATTTTTACTAAAATACATTAAACTAAGGAAATGAAGCATGGTGGTCTAAACAGGGCATAAAAATGTGACATATTTAATAAATTATGAACTATGATGATATTTTACTTTAATATTCATTGTGTTGAACAGTATGTCTAAATGCAAGCAAAAGACAAGATATAGGCTAGATCTAATTTCACTTATAAAACTCTGACACATTAAAGGCAATCTTCACCAAAACAGAGTAAGATTATCTTCAGACCATCCAGTCAAATGTTATTTTTCTATTCAACACTGTTTGCATGCACTGACATTTCACTTTTTGTCCCAATAAATTGTATCATATACTCCAAATATCATATCCACTATAGTAAATTTCACAATTACAAAAAAAAATGACATTAAATTAAAACATAAATTTGAGAAAGATGCTATTTCCTTAGGCTGAAACGTGTAATGTGTAACATTACCATGAACTTTTAGTGATAACCACTTGTGCCTGCATTTAGAGTAGAAATAAATCGTGGTCATTTTTTTGTGTGTGTGTGTGTGTGTGTGTGTGTGTGTGTGTGTGTGTGTGTGTGTGTGTGTGTGTGTCGCTACAACTTCCTTAAGGTTTAAATTTGACGATCTGTCACAGTGGGAAGTCGTTATAAATAAAAACACAATAGGCTATGCACATTCGACATGTGGGACTATTCCCCATTAATTATTTAAACGCATTTTATATTTTACAGTAACACAAATAGTCCTCTATTAGAAAAGCGGTTTTAAAACTGTTTACTGTCTTCTAATCTTACACTATTAATCCACAAGCAAATGATTTAAACAACAAACATGATTGCGACTTTTTTTAAGAGTAGCTAGCCAACACATCCATCACACAGTCCCGACTTTATGTTATCAAACATCGAAATACTTCATTCAAATTCATAAACGTAGCCTAGCCTACATCATAACTCACTGCGTACTTACATTTAAAGCCGGGCAGTCATTTGTATTTCCCAAACGCTTATCGAATCACTCGTCCACATATGTTGTATTGGTTGTAAGTCCGAGCCATTTAGTTCTCTGAAAGGAAAGACGTGACTTTAAGCGGGTTTCAAGGCGCTGGAATCCGTCAGTGATGCTCAACTACTTCACAGCAGTCAGTCTAAACTACTGGTTGCATAGACACATTCTGCGCTGAGTGCAGTGTGTGTGTGCACATAGAAGAAGAGCCTATCAGTGACAGACTGACGATTCAGTGGTGATTGGAGGGAACAGGAAATGACATCTCACATGTTTGGAATTACATTGAATGAAAGTGGCATGCAATTATCACACAGGCACACTCTCATCATATTCTACTAATCTCTAGGCTATTTTAGCCTGTGCCATGCAGACAAACCCTGTCTGTCATCGCTTTCTTTATATGTCATGTCACTTTGACCAGGTTATTCCTTTCAAGGCATGAAATTCTATTTCCACATGTTCGTCCACTTCTGGCAAGTAAGAAATGTTTGACATTGCATCATACAGATTATGCCGTAGCACTCCATACAATAAATGCGGTATCAACTGCAGAAACGCATTCGCTTCTTCTAGCGGGGTGTTGTTAAGACTGGATTCTGCAATTTCGGGGAAAGCTCCAGTTCCAGCACCCACGGAACTGGCAGGTCTTTGTAATAAACCCGCTTACTGCTGTTCTCCAACCTTCAACTGCCAACAGGCACGGATCTGATTGCAAGAGATTTCCTTTTGAAACTGATGGATGTCTTCACGGCATATTTCAGAGTTGGAAATGTATACAGATCATTGTACTTTTGGCTGCAGGCTGTTGAAGTTAGTTAACTATAAAAATAAAATCTCAGAACTTATTTGTTGAAAACAGTGATGACTCTGATCTATCTTCATCAAGCACGTGCAAGTGCGCTAAAGCTAATTGACTGCATGCGCATCAGCATGTTGCCTGTCAGATCAAACATTTGACCAGATACATTCAAATAGGATCCTCCCACATTGCTGCAGAATAAAAATTGTGTCAGGGTAAAAATTGCATGCCAAACACTGTTCCTGTCCAAAAAGTTCTCTGCTCACTCATGCAACTACAAGCATTGAAGGCTTCCCGCAACACTCCCACTCAAGACATTTAAATATGTCCTTTAGTGTAGCAGAGACTTGTGAACCCATGAAGGATTTAAGTCAATTTTTCAAAACAAAGCGTGACTTGAGACAAAATGTATGCTACATTAAACTAGACGAGACATTAAAGGGTTAATTCACCCAAAAATGAAAATTCTGTCAGTAATTACTCACCTTTATGTTGTTCCAATCCTGTAAGACTTTCGTTCATCTTCGGAACACGAATTAAGATATTTTTGATAAAATCTGAGAGCTGGATCACTCCTCCATAGGCTTCTTAAGGGATTGAAACTGGCCGGCCCAAAAGTTATGAAAGACATCGTTAAAACAGTCAGAGTTACTACAGTGGCTGAATCTTAAGTTTAGCAAGCGACGAGAATACTTTTTGTGCGCAAAAAACAAACAAACAAAAATAACGACTTTATTCAACTATTCATTTTCTTCTCTGTGGACTGTGAGATTTCACGTAGTGAAACTGCACACAAAAAGTATTCTCGTCGCTTGATGAACTTAAGGTTGAGCCACTGTAGTCACTCTGACTATTTTAACGATGTCTTTCATAATTTACTAAAAGGTTTTTAACCCTTTTGTTTTTAAATATAATTTGCTATAGTGATCTTTAGTTTGGAGTAAACAGATGGAGTGACTTTGTCCTTTGTTCACAGGTATAGCAGGAACAAGTTAAATCCAGGCACATGATAATTGTAAACTGATATTTCCTAATGACACACTACAGCAAATTTAGCAGTGATTTTGCATTAACGATATATTTTTAAGGGTTTCTTGAAATAACATACAGCAAATCCATTATAATCTGCCACGGATTTGAACATGTCCAAATAATTTTTCCAACATTACCACATATTTGTTTCTTGGTTGGACGTGCTGTTTACAAGAAAACAGTGAAAAAGCTTTAAAAAAAAACTCATATACAGCACTTTCCAGAGAAAAGCAAGCTGCCAAGTGGATGCTTACAGCCAAATTCAAACCTATAAATATGACTAAGACATGTACTGAATGTTTTATTTAAATGCCTCATGCATTGCTGCCTGATGTCAGGCTACACACTGTGCCTTTTTTAAGTGTAAATTGGTTGTCCACTGGGACAGTTCCTCATTTTGTTTGATAAATCTTTAATTGTAGGATGTCATGCCTTATGTTGAGTTGAACCTGGACCTAATTATAACTAATTATAGTAAGCATGAATAATTGATTTCACATTTTTTACAATTATACAAAACATGTAATTACACACAACTGTTGTTGCAGTGATTTCACTTGAATTGCACACACTTTTTTAAATAATTCAGCTGAATAAAAACTTAAAGGGTATGACGTACCCATTTTAAATTGTCAAAATTATTCAGATTGTTTGCCTTGTGCAAGAGCTGATGTGATGGGACAATAATTGAAAAAAACGATGAGCCAAAGTAAAAGAAGTGGGGAAAGGGGGGAAATTCGATTACTGTAATAGCAAAAGGAAACTGAGGCAACAACTGTATGAATTATTAACTGTCCCTGGTTGAGACCTGTCAAGAAGAAAGTGAAAGAGATGAGGGAGAGAAATGGTGTTTAAGCTCATCTCAGGCTTGCTAACATTGCTCTGTCGACACATGCAACACACTCTAATGCCATCATCTTGGCAAGACCAGTCTCTAACATAGTAAGCTCATAGGAAGCTTAAAGGTAATCTGTCAGGCACTTAAAAATCTAATGCCACCCACTCTCGTCCCGGCAGCTTCATGGAACGATGCACTTGATGGCGTGTCATTCTCTTGACAAAATGTCTGCGGCATCCCTGTTGCTGTTTGTCTGCTTGAACCACACAGGGCAGTTCCCTTCATTGTGGGGGACAGGAGTTCTTGTGTATGTTGAAGTTGTAGAGCCTGATGCCCGTGGATGATCGGATAGACTGCGGAGCACGAGAGCACCATATGGTAAAGCCTCAAGCCCAGTTCTGACATGTATAGGACTCTGGATTACATAAGGATGTGACAAAGCGAGTGCCCTCAGTTGGGCCTCAGGAATATGAATCAGGAGAGGGCATGAGGTTTCAGGAGAATCTGGTGCAAGCATGCTGTTGACTGGCAGCCGTGCCCACTGCCACCACAGCGCCCAATGACAGCATGCAATATGCACAAGCCCTGTCTCATTCTCTGGCCAGTTCCCTGGGGGGATGAGCTTATGAAACGATTTATATACAACGCTACACTGGTTCCACAAATACTTCACAACAACAAAATTACTTTAAAGGGAAATTGATGTGATAGGTTGTCAGGATCAATGCTTGGAAACATTTCTCCTCATTCTGTCATTAAATGGGGAAGAACAATGTCTCAAAAGGCAGGAGGGGAGGGGGATGTGTATAGCTCTAGCATAAAACCAGCCCACAGTAACAGACACGAAAGCTCGATGACAGGTGACATCAATTACTAACTAAAAAGCAGATAACGGGATGCCCTCCGACTGCCTCTTACAACAACATGGTTTTGGAATGATCCAATAACGTCAATAAAAATCAACCATTTCCTCTTCTATATTTCCCTTTCTTCAGTCTTTAACAGATCAACCTAATCTATACACCATTCAATTTCACACTAAAGTGGTCATTGCACTGGGGCCAAGCAATAGCAAGCTGAAATACTCTAGAATATTCAAAAATACTTGCAACACAATAGCAATGTTAAAAACAAAAGAAAAATCACAGGCCATAGGCTCTGTAAAGAGCAAACAAAACATAATCAGGGGATTTGACTTCACTTTTCTGTCAAGATTTTTGATCAGGTTTAAGAAACATCCTAAACAAATGCTGCACACTGGGAAAAACAACATCATTGGTAAAGCAAGTTCTATATAATTTAATACAATATTTAATTTGAGTCATATTTTGATTGAAATTTATTTTATTTGAAGGCATGGCTACTTTTGTATAACTGTCAATAGAGAAGACAGTGGTAAAAGTATACCAGCATGCATGGGCTAACTGGCCTTTACTAACCAGCCAAAACTTGACCCCTTATGGTTTTCTGATATATCTTTGCAATAATACCTTAAGAGAATGAACACTTTCAGGCCCGATTTCTCATAGGCAGATTTACCTTTAGCTTGGCCCATTAACTTTTTAAGTCCTGGGTTGAGTTTAGCCTGTTCCAAGCCTTTAAATTAGCTAAAGAAAAGTCATCACATTCAGTTCAGTGGTTTCCACAGAGCTAACAGGCCCTAATTTATTCTAAACTGTTTAGTCAGCATTCTCTCCCTTACACTTCCTCTGTGATAACCTGAGTTTAATGCTAAAGGGCAATGATTGCTTTCACAACCTCTCATGGTGTAGTGGTGCATTTCTTGATGATGATTTCACAGCACAGTGCATTTTCTTCTGAGAGAGATGAAGTTTACAGCAGCCACAGGGTGAGATGTATCCAGTCTCACATCTACTATATCATCACTTTTCACACTTCTTATTGCAGCAGACATCCCAATGGACCCAAGAGCAGAGGTTTGTAAGAGCTGAAGTGTGTAATTTTTTCGACGTTAAAATATTTTCTTCTATCTCGGCTTAATAGGCAGAGGCAGCTATAAGTAAGCCATTTGTAGGTTGTTATGTCCGAAAAGTCTGTGTAAATACTGTGTCTCTGTGGCTTAATGTAATGGCATTCCACTGGAGGCAAGGAGTAGAGAACCCAAGAGAAGAACCCACGGGCCTGTACCATGATGGCAGTTGAACAAACTCAGGGTTACAGGATTAGTTTGACAAAACCATTTGATTTTGCATTTGATTTACTAAAAAAAAATAAGTGAATAATTTGCCACCCGATTTCTGAACACCACTGAACTATATACAGTTGTAATCAAAAGTATTTAACCCCCATTGCAAATCAGGTTTATTGGCAACATTTACAAACTTTCAGCTATTTCCAATGAACAAATAAAAAAAAGTAATTGAAATAGCTCAACACAACAAATATTTCAAGTGGTTTCCCCAAATTCAACTGTAAACTAAACTTTTAATGACTTCTGTAGTCTCAAAATTATTGACCTCCCAGACCGGATGTAACTAATCAAAGGCTTCATAAGTTTCACCAGGTGTGC